AAATGAAAAAATGGAAATAAAGTGTTTATAAATGGGGAGGGGGAGGGGGTGAAGGGTGGGCAGGGACAAGGGGAAAAAATGAGAACCAAGACCTGTCATGTAAAGGTACAAGGTTCCGATAATGAATGTGACTGTAGTGTGTACCTAAAATATACCAATAAACTCAATAAAAGAAAAAAAGTTGGTTGTCCACAAATATCAGCCCATTTTAAATGATAACTTCCCAGGTTCTCTTTGAGATTTTTCTTTTACTCCTAATATTTCATGTGCCAGCCAGGAAAGCTGTGGTTCAACACACAGACAAAGCCAAATGAGACTCACTCTTCAGCTAAAATCAGTCTGCGTTCAATTATTTTAATGGGATCTTATTTATTTTCTACAGCAAAATGATTCCTTGGGGAAAAATATTACTACATTTAACTATACCACACAGGAAAAATTCTCATGTCCAATCAAAAGCAAAAAATTTTATTGATATACCTGATTAGTATTCCAAATTTTCAAATAAACGTACACATTCCATGTCTCCTAGAATGCTTGTGTCATCCAGTAAATAACACAAGTGATAAATATACCATTGAAACGATAGTTTTATATATCATGTAAAAAGTTTTTATATCCTGAAGAAACATTTACATTATAGAACTGTTCTCCACTTAGTACATAAATTTTTGTTCCTAAAGAAGAAACCAAAAAAGTCTGGACAGCTTGTTTTCAAATGGCAGTTTTGATCTCTGGAGGGCATTTGGCAATGTGTGGGTATCAAGGCAGTACAGCCAGGTGCTACTATGGTCCACCTGCTATGGGGAGCCAAGGATGGTGATAAAAATCCTTCAATGCACAGGGAGTCCGCATGACAATGAGTCACCTAGTCAAAATTAACAAGAAAGACCACTGTTGAGACGACCTGGCCAGAAGGAAATAAAATGTTCTTTAGTCACTACAAACTGGCTATAGTCACTACAATTTCTGTGTTATCCAATTTAAGCCCTCAGGCATAGCTGCGTAGCCTTTTTCTGTACTTTGACTGCAGTTCTCAAGCCTGCAAAGTCTTTCTTCTCAGTGGTGAAAGCAGCACTAATTATTGTAGAGCAGAATCAGATCTCCATTTATAAACTACCATTTTTGCAATGGCATTTTGAGTTATGTGGCACATTGCCTGTATGAATGTTCAGCTTTGTTAATCAACTTCTTTCTCCTAAAACAACTCATTACATGCTATTTCTTGAAATTAGCATCTTATAAAAAGGAGTCACTTCACTCTAAACTGCTCCTCCTAATAAAACTTATAATTTTAATTCTAAAAAATTTTAATGACTGAAAATTAATTGATAGGATACTAAAGTACAGCCCAATTTCCAAAAAAACATATATTTTGATCAATATATATCATTCAGTATGTCTTTTAAAAACTCCTATACTAGCTCTGGAAATAATTCCTTATGTATATAACATAGTTGTTTTAATGAACTAAAAAACAGGTTTTAAGCTACCCCAGCCAAAGACATCATTGAACATTTAGTACAATTTTTTAACATAAACTTAACAACAAGTTTTCTTGGTATTTATAATTAATTTTGCAATTTAAAAAACCAGATTGGAAATAATGATTTTTGTACAATAATGTTTGAATTTTCATGGAATTAGATCCTTTTTTGCTACTAGCAGATTATACTTAGGCAGGTGATACACAGCTATACTTCCTGTCCTTGAAACTTCTAGGAGTAGGAGTTTAGTATGTAACATAATTGTTTCTGCAACAGTTGATCATGTATATTTTTACCAAGCTTGCAGATACCACCATACAGCTATAAACTACAGTGTGAACCATGGCTCTCTTCATGTAACATCGAGAAAACTATCATACCTATCAGTTACAAATTAGTCTACAGAAAAACCAAGGGAGTGGGGCATACCAAGTTTGCCTTCATTGTGTTTATTTCCCTTTATTCAACTGACTAAAGGAATGCAAATTCATATAGTACTGTAGTACTTAAGATTTTTATATTATGTACATTAAGACAATCATGGAGATAAGTTATGTATTGATGCATTTAGCTAAAGTGGAACCCCTGAAGTTATCATTTTATTTTTTTGTTATAATAATTTTATTTCATTTGTTTGTGACCTCAGTGGTTTGAAATATATGCTCTAAATAAGTAGCAAGGGATATTTGATTATAGAAACCAAGAACAATGTAAGTACTAGTATTTCATCAAAATTTCATCTCTAATTAAAGAGATGACCATCTTCTAAATATTTAAGTGAAAATATATTTATAACTAAAAAGTTTTGATTTTTAAACTATATCTTAAAATGTGCATTGCCAACTATAAAACAATGTGGCAAGGTTTTGGAGGAAAGACAACCTCCTTTTCTAATTTACAAAATATTTCATTTCCAGTAACATCACTACATCCATTTTTGTGTGAGAACTTCTTTTTAAAAATTGTTTGATTTTCCTAGAAAAGCTAGAAAGATGCTTAAGGAGTATATTGAAACTTTTGAAACATGTGAGTGATGAAAATATTTATTGCTATTTTTAATATCTTGGCTTAAAAATAATTATGCCTATTATATCTTCAAAAAAACTCTACTTTCTGTAAGATATAGAAATTGCCTTACATGAAAGGAGGAGAAAGATGTCATAACAATATCTGCAGAGTCTGGCCAGTTTTTATGGGAATTCTGCCACTTTTTATGGGACTACTCAGAAATCAGAAAGTAAGATTTATTCTATCTATATTTTAAAAGCACAATATTAATAATAGGAAAATAATTTTTGAATCTCTGGTAGAGCTTATGAAATAACTTACCTTCTTTTCTTTTGGGAAAAATCTCTGTTCTGGTTAACACTACAGGACCGAGAGTAGTATGTAATTGGAATATAAATAAAAGCCAAATGGGAATTATACATAAATGGAAACTATAATATTAATTCATGTACACAATTTGGAAGTATGAGAGACATATATGGAAGTTAAAAGATTGGCAATCGAAGTAAATTGTAAGTAATATGCTCAGGCAGTTTAATGGATATTATTGCCTGCGTTGGATGGTAGATATAGATAAACTTAGATTTCTCCTTAAAAATTTCCCCAGATGTGCTTCTGAGAGAATATTTCTCAGATATATTTTCTGAGAAAATATTTTCTTGGTCTAAATAAATGCAAAACTGTAATTAAGCTAATGGCACTTGCACATAAGTTAAATGACTTTAAGACAAATTGCTTGTTAGATTTCATCATCTTCATGTGACTAGGACAGTTCCAAGTTTGCGTCAGCTCTAAAATTCTAATTCCAATTAAATTAAAGGGATAAGGCTAAATTATGAATTGAATCTTCGAAACTCATAGTGAGTATGTAAGCTATTTTTATCATTTTGTTTAACAGTAACAGCCTGCCACTATTAAAATTCACATTTCAAATTAGTCCATTTACAGAAGTGTACACATGTCGAAGCCGAAACGTGTACACGTGTCCCTTAGAAGCTTTCCAGAGGAGGGGCTTTTTCCAGAAATCTACAAGCACGCATGCTCCAAAGTAAACTAGTCTCTCACAGATTGAGCGGGGACACTGAAATGCAGGGTCTCCTTTCCTAAAGCGATCTTTGTTTCTAGGGGTGCCACTCATGGATCGACAGAGGCCACACTATTATTATTTTTTTGTTTATTTTAAAGATAAGGGAATGAGAGGGAGGAAAGTAAAATATGAAATTGTCAAACACAGAGATAATGTTAATGGAAAGTCAGACACAGGTGTGAGGAGAGGCGAATACACCTAAGAAAAGGGTCCAAAATGTAATCACTCTGTATGTGTTCCAAACCGGGGGCCTGACGGGCTGTAGGCTGGGAAGTGTCCTCTTCCAGACTCTGAGCTCAACTTGCCGTATTTCTAATTGCCTGAGGGCTGATTCAGTTACCACCACAGAGACAGAAATTATAGCTTTCAACCTTTCATTTTATTCCTCTTACCTATAAATCCACTAGTTCCAGTCTGTCTGACCACTTGAGAAAATTTTTGTTGTCGTTGCTGTGTGTTTTGCTTTTTTTTTTTTTCCTTTGAATTAGTGCAGCTTCGGGGAAACATTCAATGTACTTTACTCAGACAACAGTAGACAGCCCTGGAAATTCTTGATGTGGAAAAAAAAAGGTATCCTGCTGGGAACACAAAATGGCACACAGGGCACACAATAATGATTCTCATAATTGAGACTGTCATGTGTCTTATTAAAAGCCATCATTTACCTGGAGGTCTTTCTTGGAAAAAAATGCAAAGATGCTTTACAGATTTTTACATCACGGTATTTCTCAAAGCCTTACTGATCTATTTTCATATGTATGTTGTTGGTTAGGTCCTTCAAAGGGCTTCAAGGTTTACTTTTATATTTAAAAAGAGTGAAGATGAAAGCTACTGTTTGAATACAGCATTGCATTCAGTGGCACCAAGATGCTTATTATAACTGCCCTGATGAGACAGTCGACGCGTCTCCGGGATGCCATTCTTCGCTAATGTGTATTTAGGTGCCGTGTCTGCTGGTTTGCCTAAGTGATGTGGCATACATTTGATGAAAGGACGTGAACAACATCAATTATAAAAGACATCTGCTAATGAGAGGAAGAAAAGGAAGACAGGAGAGAGAGGGAGAGAGAGACAGACTGAGGAAAAAAGAGAAGAAATTCTCTGACATGGAAAGAACAAAGCATTTCAATTGAACTCAAAAAGGAGACGTACCTTAATTGCATCCTAATTTTAGGATACAACTAACCAAGCTCTCTACTCTCCTTCGGAGACATCCATGTTTCTTCAATTTCTATGGAACCATTACTCAAATTGCCTTCAGCTTCCTTCATGCATTTGTTGGTGATTTTGCCAAGATCCCTATGCAAAACAGAAAAGGATAATAGGTGAAACTCAGGCCACACTAAACAAATGAGCTAAAATTGATTCTTATCCCTTCCTAGGGATGTTTTCTAGGCCTGCAATCCATAGGTGGCCGTCAATTTTCGACATCTTACACATTTCCTTTTTTAAGTCCCCAGAAAATATTGTTTGGGGCTTTTCCTGCATATATAAGCATAGTCAAACAATAACCAGGGACCTCTGAAAAGAGAAACTAAACATTTTGGCTACCTCCAGCATGCTAATTAATTTAGGGATTTGTTTTTCTTTATATGTATTTCCCATAGGTGAATATATTTAAAAATATTAAGTAATATTAGCTCAATTATTAACAAAATCTAAATTTAATTCTTACACATCTTAACTATATTAGTTTTGTGTTTGTCATCTAATTTCCCCAAAGAGACTAACTTATCTATCAATACTGGGTCACACTTATATCATTTTTCTAGCTCATGATAGTAACTGCATTTTAAAATATTCACAAAGAAAATATTGAATATGATTAAGCAATGTGATATTTTTCCTCCCTTCAATTAGGTTAAATGAAGACCAGAAAATGTGTTTCTTTTCAATATTGAAGTAGAAAATCATGATATTTTGTTCAAAAAAAGGGATGAAGAGCAATGAAAATAAACTGTAAGAAGCATTGTTTAGGATTTGCAAGTTTGCTGATTTTCTTAGGTTAGCTGTTATAGACCTCTGTGGGGATGCATTTCTGTTATTTTCCTCGCAGAAGATGTTTTCTTGAGTGTATATCTTAGGCCAACACGTTTTCTTTCCAAGATATTCTGTGTGCCCTGGTACCTGAGTGCCTGAGCTCCAGGCACTGCGTAGGAAGGATGGCTACAAAGGCCCCAGAGATCCAGTTGGCGGAAGTTGCAAGGATCGTGCGCTGAACAACTTTCCCAGTTGCCCACTGCCATGCTGGCCATGATGGCGGCAGAGGGCTGGGCGACGCGGGGAGGGGCATGACGGTCGCCGCATTTCTGCTCGGAGTTTATGTCCACTGTCCACTCTGTCTCACTCTGTGGTTGTATGCAAGTCCAGTTAGTAGGTAAATGACTAACAAAGGGGGAGTTAATATGCACAAATAAATACATCAGATATTCTTTTTAAAAATTTAAGTCAATGCTCCCTATGAAGAGTGATGCTGCTTCTGAAGAGAAACATTTCCTGCAACTGACAAAATTCTTCATATTATGGATAGGGAGGGACCTTGAGGCTGAGAGACTAAGACTACAGCGTTATGCTAACAAACTACTAAATGGGAGCTCTCTTTTGATAAACAAGTAGATGAATTCATTGAGGCCTTAGACTGAGGATACCATGAATAAAATATGAATTTAATTAATATCATCTTTAAGTGCTATATAATATTCTCTTTAGATGAGATTAGTTAGAATGCAGAAAGTAACCTAACAAGAATATTGTTGTTTGAATTAAAAGTTTATATAAAACATTTTAATAGTACTAGAGTTTGTGTAATATTTTCAATATCTTCCAAGTTATCTCTTATTGAACTATGATGTAATTTGTTAGTCTCTCTTTCTCTCTCTCCTCCCCCTATTGGCTAGAGAAATTTAAAAATTGCAGAATCTTGGTGGGAGAATACAAAATGCGTTCTTACTTTTTTTAGTTTGTTATAAAACTTTTAAAAATTAAAGTATTGCCAATGCAATTTCTTGGTGTATTACCCCTGACAGCTACTATTAATTATATTTTAACCTGTTAATGGTCTAACGCTTTCTATAAAGCACAATAAGCCAAGTTTCCTTCAAGTATTGAGCTCATCTATTAAGAGATGGTTACAGGGTAGGCGGGTGGGCAGGCAGGCTGCACCAAAAGCAGATCTCCTAGGTAGGGGGTCTTTGTCTCCTACCTCGAGCCTCCGCACCTACAGGCTGCCTGGCATAGGCTGGGGGCCAACCAGACAGCCCTCACTGTGAGATGCCAGAAGGGACCGGGGAAGCCAAGGCCCTGGGCACACAAGCTGAAACTTGCATTCTTGGCAAAGCTCAGATGCCAAGGTTTACATCTCTAATAACACCCTCCCTGCCTCTTTGGTAATGATACCCCGGGGCTGCTGGGAGGGGATTCTTTTTATAAGGAAACATACTCATAAGGATTTAATATTATCTTTCTGAACCCTTTGATTCAACAGGGTCTTTAAAAAATTTCCCCTCTTATTTTGCAGATCCTGTAATGTCTGCCAGCACTAATTCTTTAGGTGATAGTAGTATTTAATCAACATCTTTCTACTGAGCTCAAGATTCATTTTCCTTTTTAACCATGTGCTTAAAAAAATAAAATATCTTGCCACCAAATGTCTTTTTTACAGACTGAAAAGACTTTTAGGTTAAACAACATTTGTTAGGCTTTGATGCAATCAAATGCAATTTCAATCTTCTTGAAATATTCAGCCTTGCCTCTCTGAAATTGCACATATGTGTCAGCTTTCAATTTTTCTCACTAGTGTTTTACACATGAAATCTATTTTCACTGAGAAAATGGGATCTTTGTGTCTTTGTCTCCAGGCGCGCAGCTTTCAGGCATGTTCTGGCAGGGGCTGTGACCGTCGAGGCACTGGGGGAGGGGCCTGGCAGTCGTTTGTCAGCTTCCTTGCATCTGTAATTTCTGGCCACTCAGCAGTACGAGAGGGTCTTAGAAGGGGGGACAGCAGGGTAGGGGACAGAGCTCACCATTGATGGAAGCCAAACTCAGAGCCCGATGTTAATGATCAAAAAGAGAAGGGAGAGTCTGAAAAACTTTTAGTGTGCTTTAATGAAAACGATTCTTTTTGGAAGTGGCTAATTTACAAAATTGCACATGATAACATTTTCAGATCTCACATAGAAAGCCCCTGTCCACATTGTGTTACCGATTTCATTGCTTTCAGCTTCTCAAGAGCTCACAAAACTATTTTAATTTTCCACCAGTGGCTTCTGGTTATTTCTGCTCTTATTTCCTCCTAAGAAAACTAACTGACAGCCCAATTAAACATCTGCATTTTTTTTAATCTGGATTTTCCTCCTTAACTATTTTGCGTTTCTTCTAAAACTTCCAGATGTTTTGGCTTATTATTTTAATACATGCATTCTATTTCGGAGAGAGAGAGAGAGAGAGAGAGAGAGAGAGAGAGAGAGAGAGAGCGCTAGATGAACTGACCAGATGCCTCAAAATGAAAAGCCTTCTAATATACCAATAAAATAATCTAGTTGGTATTTTTGTCTCTTCATGGACATGTTTACATTCGAATACATGTTATTGTCGACTAGCACTTTACTATATAACTTTGACTTTGCAATTCATTTTTGTGGAATATTAGAGTTCAGAATTCACAATGTGGTTTGTTCATTATCCTCAACAAATAAACAAAGCATCCGACTTTGTTATCTCAGTGTCCAGTAACCATTTGGAAGCTGCTGTGACTTGTTGTTTATATTACTTCTGTCTTTTTTCTATGAAAGATAAGTTATAAGCTACATGGAGAAACAATGTATTTTAAGTTAGTTTCCGGCTTTGGACAAACATCTATATCTTGTCTTGAAGTGTCTAGACAAGAGTTAAAAGAGTCTCATATATTTCAAGAAATCCTGTTTCTCATAATTAATAACAGGAAACTGGATAAACAGCCTTTTGCTGACAAATGAAATGGAAATGCTAGAACATACACAGAAACATGGGAGAAGGGACAACGTATGGTGACACTAGAAAAGTAGTTCAGTTCATGTGCAAGACCTCCTCATTCATTTTACTTTTCTGACTCTTTAAGAATGTGCTTGTAGAGTACAGTCATTTTCCCCCTGCTTAGTATTTACAAATGATCTCAGGGTACTTATATGTTTGACATTCAAGAGGAAAATCATTTCTTGGAATCCAGATTTTCTAGACAAGTGAACATGAAAGAAGAGAATATTCTTTAAACATTATTATGAGATTTGAAAGGTTTATCCTTGCTGCATACTTTTGAGTATACCTAACAGGATAATTTTGGTATAAGGTTGTTTTTTAGTGTGGAGTGGGGAGGTGGGAGCCAGAGAGCATATATTCGTGGGATCTCAGGCAAACTAAATGCGATAGTCGTTAATCAGATCACTGGGCAATGTGACTGCACTTGTGTTTAAAGCTCTGTGTCTGTACCGTCTAATTTTAGTGCCGGCAGTCTGATCTCAGTAATGACCTCGAAAACCATAAGCGAAGGTGATGTGTGCTCCTAGAAACATGTCCTAGAAACACAAAAAGGATTTAATTTTTGAATTTTTAAAAACTGCATTAGCTGCTTAACTTAGTGTTAATTTCTATGAGTAAAGAAAGTACTTGATCACTAAGTGACTTTTTAAAAAATTACACTACAGGTGATTATTCAAGACTTGTTAAATATTAAACTAAACAATCAAATGCTTATGTCTGGTTTCGTAGAAAGAATAGACTAATGAATGGTGACATTAAGAAAGGTTTTTGTTTTAGGATGTACTTTAATTGTAAATTGAAGAATGCATTTTTACTATTCTAGTAAAATACACATGTACATAAGCATGAAAATATATATGTATAAATTTAAGGCATGCCACTAGTTTGAATTATGTGCCCTTCTTGTAGGTTCTCAGTAAATTATAACCCTAGGAAATGAGCAGAGAGATTGTCCTGAGTGGGTGGGCAGCAGTCTTTGACCACATGTAACATACGTCTGTGTAACTGACATAGGAATTGGAAATGAAATTCATTTTTTAGGCAGTTTTTTAGTGGCTATCATTTTAAGGCAGGGGATTTTACTCAGAACTGAGTCCAATTACAAATAAATCTCTATTATTTAATACTATAT